ACAACGCCCGGCTATTTTTTGGTTGCAGCCGTCATTGATGTTTGGCGGGCCAGGGCTGAATTCGAACCCGCCACCTTAGGTGTATGTGGGTGGTGTCTTAGCCACTTGAGCCACAGGCGCCGAGCCAGAAACTGCTATTTTTATAGGTCAAAAATGGTTGTGTATTGGCAATTTCTTATAGTATAACCTGATAAAATAGCCCCCTACACCCAAGTCACTCTCTATCCACTTATCTTGCTTAAGTTTCTTTCTAGCATTTATTCATTAACCAAAGTAGTACACCCAGATCTTCTGTATCACATTATCTTATATTATTACCTATTATTCTTTTTTTTTTTTTGGTAGAGACAGGGTCTTGCTATGTTGCTCAGGCTGGTCTCAAACACCTGGCCTCAAGCAAGCCTCCCCTCCTCAGCCTTCCAGAGCACTGGGATTACAGAGGATGAGCCACTGCACCTGGCCTACTTTACTCTATATTATTGTTTTCTAGTATTTCACCTGTTTATTTTCTGTCTTCCCCATAATCACACAAGCTCTATGACAGCATAGGCTTTATCTGATTTCCACACCACTGGATCCCAAGGGCCCTGAACTACTCCCGGCATACAACAGGCCCTCAATAGTTGAATGAAGAAATAAATGAATAAGCATTCTATATATCCTAGCCCTTTAACCAGAAGTTAGTATTGATGAAATGCTTACTTACTGTGTACCAGGAGTTTTCACATACACAAACCTCACAATATCTCAGTGAGGTAGAACATGGCAATAAGAAGACACTTTCTAATGCTGAATACTTATGAAGCGCCAGTTGTTGTTCTGACCGTTTTGACTCAATTACATGAGGCAGGTGTGCAATATTTTACTTTTTAGACGGTGTCCTATTCCTTTTCCCATTTTACAGACAAAGAAACTGAAGTACCAAGGGGTTAAGCTACTTACCCAAGGTCACACAGGTGGGTAACTGTCAGTGCTTGGATTCCAACCCCGCCACCTGACATCACAGCCTTTGCTATTTACACAGCACAGCAGATCTGTAGCCCTAAATTCAAATATCGGTTCTAACACGGATTCAGTTAAGTGAGCTTAACATCTCTGTACTTCAGTTGCCTCATCTGTAGAATGGGTACAATAAATAGTAGTGCCTACCTCAAATTTAGATTGTTTTGAGGATGACTTAATGTACATAAAGTGTTTAAAACACAGATGGCACTAAGCAAATGCCATATCAGCGTCTAGTATTATCGTTACTATACTATGTTACTTCTCAGGTGTTTTGAGCGCTGCCCATTTCAAGTTTGAGTTCTGTCTGCGAAATAAGGCCAATCCCACCTCTGGCCCTGGACCGAAATCAGGGAACAAAGGAGAAAAACAAGCTAGATAAAATTCCCAAGTTTTCGAAGACTTAGCCAATGAGTCATCCTCAGTCGTCTAAGAACGTCCTCTACGCGCCTCGTCTGCTGGTTCCTGACTGACCCTTATGGCGTTCCGTTCCCCCTCCCTCTCACCTTCTCATAGAGGTTTTCCTCCTCGGGTTCTGGGTCCTCCTGCCAGTGTATGGTCGGTTCCGGTGGCCGCTTTCCCGCCACAGTGGACGGGGTGACTACAGCCCTGGAGGAGCCAGAGTCCCAGCGAACGCGGGCAGCCGG